CAACGTTTTTATTTATTTTGGACAGAAAGCAGAGAGAAACAGAGCATGAACGGGAGGGGCAGAGAGAGGAGACACAGCATCGGGAAATACGGGGCTCAGGCTCGGCCATCAGCCCAGAGCCTGACGCGGGCTCAACTCACGGACCAGCGAGATCGTGACCTGGCTGAAGTCGGACGCTTAACCGACTGCTATACCCAGGCGCTTCTATTTTTTTTTTCTACACCCAATTTTTTTTTCAATGGTTTATTTATTTTTGAGAGAGGAGAGAGTGCGAATGGCAGAGGGCAGAGCAGGAGACACAGAATCCAAAGCAGGCTCCAGACTCTGAGCTGTCAGCACAGAGCCTGACATGGGGCTTGAACCCACAAATCATAAGATCATGACCTGAGCCAAAGTCGGACACTTATCCAACTGAGCCACCCAGGCACCTTTATTAAAAGCAATTTCTTAAATATCAGGGAGGAAACAACAAAAATGTTAGCTATCATTACTTCTTTATATAAATACAATGCAGTTTCAGCAGATAGAATAAGAAAAAGATTGGAACAAAGGGAAAAGAAAACTGCCTTTATCCACAGTGATTATTATTACCTATACAGAAAATCCAGAAATAAAATTTACATAGTATTAGAATTTGAGATTCACATTCTTAAAATTACTTTATGGAGTGACATTTATAGGACATAAGACACTAGAAAGCTCTACATACAATATTTAATAAGTTTATCCTTAAGTGGTGGGTTATGGGAGATTTTATTTTTTTGTCTCACCTTTGGTTTTCCAATGTTCTGCACTGGATTATTTTATTTATAAAAGAATAACAGTATAATGTTATAAGATCTGAAATAAATATGTAAAAATCAATTTTATGTCCAAACAAAATCAATTTTATGTCTATACACTAGCAACAACAGAAAATGCAGTTTAAAATATTTGAAAGCAATACAAAAAAACAAAACAAAACAAAAAAAAATAAAAGGCAATACAAAATCTAGGGGTATCTAGGAATAAATCAACTGAAAGATTTACAATACCTTTCTGAACAAAATTATAAAAATTCAAAGGAATAAAAGAATACAGGAAGATATATGTTAATGATTAATAAGACTAGATATCATAAAGATATAACTTCTTTACAAATTAATCTACCAATATGACACAGTTCCCATCAAAATCCTCAAAGACTTTTTTTTTGTGGAATTTGACAAGTTACAGCTACAATTCATATGAAAAGAAGGACACAAATAGATAAGACATTTCTAAGGAAGAAGAAATAATATGTAAAGGAAATTCTACTAGAAAACAAGAGATTTATTATTAGGCTTTAATAATTGAGCTAGTGCAGCATTTGTACTGGGACATACCTGGGGAACAAAGAGAAAACTCAGAAGTCGACTCCCGATAACCTGAGATAGGATAGAGGTTGCACTATAAGTCAGTAGATAAAAGAGGGCCTATTTTAAAATAGTAGGATAATTAGTTATCTTGATGGGAAAAACGAAAATTACTCCCTACCAATACCATATTCTAAAATAAATTGTAGATCACCTAATTCTACTAAAATAGAGGCTGGAAAACAGGAATGGATGACTGGTTCTGATTGATGGTAAGGAATGTTTTCTCAGAGATGACCTCTGAGCTTCTCCTTGAATGATAAAGGAAGAACAATGTGGAAATGGACTTCCAGGCTGAGACAACAGCAAGATCGCTGTCCCAGAAAGTCCCAAGAGTGAGAAGCATTTTCTAGGAATGGACAACCAGCCCAGCTGAACAGCAAAGAAAGACAAAGATGACAATGGACTGGTGCTTCATCATGGTTTTGCACCTGTTTCACTACTTTTCTGGCCTTCTTCATGGCCAGAACCAGTTATATTCTCAGGAAACATTATTAGTATGGTCCTTCTACCCTGATGCTAATTAAAAGACCCATTCTTATTAACTGCAGCTCAGATATGCAAGAAGACACCAAAACACTTTTAAAGGTTTGAGAGGTTCAAGTTACCTTTTCTTTTTTTCTTCCGGTGATCATGACCTGAGCCAAAGTCGGACACTTATCCAACTGAGCCACCCAGGCACCTTTATTAAAAGCAATTTCTTAAATATCAGGAGGAAACACAACAAAAATGTTAGCTATCATTACTTCTTTAGTAAATACAATGGAAGTTTCAGCAGATAGAATAAGAAAAAGATTGGAACAAAGGGGAAAAGAAAACTGCCTTTATCCACAGTGATTATTATTACCTATACAGAAAATCCAGAAATAAAAATTTACATAGTATTAGAATTTGAGATTCACATTCTTAAAATTACTTTATGTACATTTATGGAGGACATAAAGACACTAGAAAGCTCTACATACAATATTTAATAAGTTTATCCTTAAGTGGTGGGTTATGGGAGATTTTATTTTTTTTGTCTCACCCTTTTGGTTTTCCCAATGTTCTGCACTGGATTATTTTATTTTATAAAAGAATAACAGTATAATGTTATAAGATCTGAAATAAATATGTAAAAATCAATTTTATGTCCAAACAAAAATCAATTTTATGTCTATACACTAGCAACAAACAGAAAATGCAGTTTAAAATATTTGAAAGCAATACAAAAAACAAAAACAAAAAAAAATAAAGGCAATACAAAATCTAGGGGTATCTAGGAATAAATCAACTGAAAGATTTACAATACCTTTCTGAACAAAATTATAAAAATTCAAAGGAATAAAAGAATATACAGGAAGATATACCATGTTAATGATTAATAAGACTAGATATCATAAAGATATAACTTCTTTACAAATTAATCTACCAATATGACACAGTTCCCATCAAAATCCTCAAAGACTTTTTTTTTTGTGGAATTTGACAAGTTACAGCTACAATTCATATGAAAAAGAAGGACACAAATAGATAAGACATTTCTAAGGAAGAAGAAATATGTAAAGGAAATTGCTCTACTAGAAAACAAGATTTATTATTAGGCTTTAATAATTGAGCTAGTGCAGCATTTGTACTGGGACATACCTGGGGAACAAAGAGAAAACTCAGAAGTCGACTCCCCCCGATAACCTGAGATAGGATAGAGGTTGCACTATAAGTCAGTAGATAAAAGAGGGCCTATTTTAAAATAGTAGGATAATTAGTTATCTTGATGGGGAAAAACGAAAATTACTCCCTACCAGATACCATATTCTAAAATAAATTGTAGATCACCTAATTCTACTAAAATAGAGGCGGGAAAACAGGAATGGATGACTGGTTCTGATTGATGGTAAGGAATGTTTTCTCAGAGAGATGACCTCTGAGCTTCTCCTTGAATGATAAAAGGAAGAACAATGTGGGAAATGGACTTCCAGGCTGAGACAACAGCAAGATCGCTGTCCCAGAAAGTCCCAAGAGTGAGAAGCATTTTCTAGGAATGGACAACCAGCCCAGCTGAACAGCAAAGAAAGACAAAGATGACAATGGATGACTGGTGCTTCATCATGGTTTTGCACCTGTTTCACTACTTTTCTGGCCTTCTTCATGGCCAGAACCAGTTATATTCTCAGGAAGGAAACATTATTAGTATGGTCCTTCTACCCTGATGCTAATTAAAAGACCATTCTTATTAACTGCAGCTCAGATATGCAAGAAGACACCAAAACACTTTTTAAAGGTTTGAGAGGTTCAAGTTACCTTTTCTTTTTTTTCTTCGGTGTTTTGGTCCTGGTTACTAGCGATTATGTTGGCCTTGTTATGCACAGTAGGAACAACCTAGGACCACAAAAAAAAGGGGGGAAGGAAAAGGGATAAAACATTTAAGTGTCACAGTCATCACACTATTTCTTTAAACAGTTAAAATCTTACTTAACTAAGTCTCTGACTTCATCTAAAAAGTAAAGACCTGAGAAGTAGAATTCAAGGCCAACAATACAATTTGAAAAATACTACAAGCTAGATAACCCCAAATATTGTGTGTGTGCATGTGTGCATGTGTGTGTGTGTGTGTGTGTGTGTGTGTGTGTGTGTGTGTAACATCAAAGAGCAGTAAGTTCCCAAGCTGGTGTAGATCCACAAAGTGAAGACAGAGAAGACTAAAAAAGAAAGTCATGACATCGACTGTCATCTACACAGCTCAGTTTCCAAAATACAGTTTTAGGGGCAACCTATGTTAGTCTCTAGAACATGGGATGCACCATTTATTTGGTAGGTTTACCTTTTTCTTCACTGTACCCCAGTTCAAGTAGGTTATCTAGCACACTGTGCATACTCCATAACTATCTCAGCATCACTGTTAGCAGGAAGATGAATTATAAATCTAGTCGCAGTCCTGGATAAAAGCTCAGTGAGAGCTGAGATTGATCACTATTATCACTATACATAATGCTCAGGAAGAACCCATTACATGCTTGCACTCAATAAATGTTTACACGTGAATGAAACAGCTCCATTTCATAGAAACAATTCTAATTATCGATGGTGCCAACAGCATAGAGTACTTTTGTACTCACTTCTTCTTATAAAACAATCCATGAAACATCTTAGGAAAATACAACAGTTTTAGTGATTTTTTTAAAAGGCTCCACGAATAACTAACACAAATAATTTTGCCATAGAATCTAATAATTAACATGAAGATTCTAAGAAAAAAATCTCCTTTCTCAGAAATGTAAAGAAACTGCCTGCCTTGGAATAATTTAAAAGCCAAAACATAACAACAACAACAAAAAACCCACCTCTGTCTGGATATAATTTAAAATTAAATTTTCTTCACCTTTACTATAGAGTCTAAAGACATAAATTAATTTTGGAATAAATGAGCAAGTCTCAGAAATGTTTCATTTAAATAAAAAACAATACTAATCACACATCAACACATATGTAATGTTTTGTATACGAACAGACACTGTGAGTGCTTAATATTTATACCTCTATTTATTTATTTATTTATATTTATTTTTAAATTTTTAAAAATATTTTTATTTATTTTTGAGACAGAGACAGAGCATGAGCAGGGGAGAGGCAGAGAGAGAGGGAGACACAGAATCTGAAGCAGGCTCCAGGCTCTGAGCTGTCAGCACAGAGCCCGACGCGGGGCTCGAACTCACCAACCGCGAGATCATGACTTGAGCTGAAGTCGGATATTCAACCGACTGACCTACACGGGCGCCCCTATACCTCTATTTAATACACACCACAATCCAAGTCAGCGTCAAAAACTGGTGGGTCTACAAGCATGCACTTCCTGTCCTGAAGGATCTTAAAATATTTTGCCTCCCTGATAAGTCAGAATACCTATCCACACTGGACCTACTTTCTCCCATGGGAAAAACCAGCTGAAGTTGAATAGCAGAAGCTCTGGGGTGGGACACGATGTCAGCTGCCACTCATAAGGTTTACTGTTTTTTTAAATAGCACAGAACTATATCTCTGTAAACATATGATTAGCAAGAACAAAAGCTCACCAGGATGACTGCATCCTCAAGGAAAGTAGAAGACTCCATATTTCTTATGAAAAAACTACATTTTTATATGATTAATATGCAAATGTACCATCAGAAAAATTTAGGTGCCATTATGAAATAACGGTATTAGGGAAGTACAAATGGAATACAGGGAAAAAGAAAACAACACATGATAATAAACTTAGTGAACTGAGGATGACCCCCAATTTCAAACAGGTCTGTTTTGGAATGTGGAAAAATAATATGAGATGCTACGGTGAAATGTAGTTATGTTAAGTCGAACAAAATTACCTTGGCATAAAAACTTTCTATAGAGGAGTGCAATATAAATCACGGGTTCTGGGGCGCCTGGGTGCCTCAGTCGGTTAAGTGGCCGACTTTGGCTTAGGTCATGATCTGGCAGACCGTGAGTTCGAGCCCCGTGTCGGGCTCTATGCTGACAGCTCAGAGCCTGGAGCCTGTTTCAGATTCTGTGTCTCCCTCTCTCTGACCCTCCCCTGTTCATGCTCTGTCTCTCTCTGTCTCAAAAATGAATAAACGTTAAAAAAATAAAATAAAAAATAAAAAAATAAATCACGGGTTCCGCTCTCAAATAAGCATTTGCCAAATAAATTTAATACACACATTTCTTTCTAGGATGCTGAAAATACAGTTGAGAAATTCAGGAGAAAAAGCTTAAAAAGGTCACATATTGGTGACATGCCTAACGCATCCGTTAAAAGTGCAAATATAAAAAAGTAAACTACAACTCAAAGAATAAAAAAAAAAAGCACAAATATAAACACCACTGCTCAATTCATGATGTTGATGACAATCTACATGTAACAGGGGCACTTGAGACACAGGGTCTTTGGGGGCGCTTGGGTGATTCAGTCAGTTGGGCGTCTGACTTCAGCTCAGATCATGATCTCATAGTTCATGGGTTCGGGCCCTGCATCAGGGTCTGTGCTGCCAGCTTGGAACCTGGATCCTGCTTCAGATTCTGTGTCTCCCTCTTTCTTTCTGCCCCTTCCCCGCTCACACTCTCTCTCAAAAATAAATAAATATTAAAAAAAAAATAGACAATAGGGTCTCTGATAGTCCCATTAGGAAATGACTTCTTTGGGGGTTTTGAGGAAAGTCTCAAAGTTTAATGAAAAGTGGTCAAAACTGATTAAGCATGTGGCTATATTTTCTACTCCTGTGAGGGTCAATACTATTTGCAACAACAAATAAGCCAAAGAGAGCGCCATTTTGCAAAGATATGAAACTTGATTTCTTTCATTGCCTCATTCAAACAGGAATCATTTTGTGTTGAAAAATGAAGTCATGGACATAATAATTAACACCATCACCTGAATATGTTCCCTTGCCTAGAATCAGAGACAGTTCAATGCTTGCTGAACTGAATGCACCATGTGGCAGTCTGCTGTGCTGCATCGGGGCTGAATGACTCGAGCAAGGCACAATGCAGAGAAGATCTTTTTTGAACAGTTGCAAGAAACTGCACCGTTTGTCATCTGAGTGAAAATTTCCACTTCAGCTCACCAGCAAAGGCTGGATTAAATGCTTGCTTGGCCTTTTTGGTTGACTTTATAACTTACTTAAAAGCTGTGAACATTTTTTGGGCAGGGCATTCACAAGTGGCCACATAAAGGTATAATTTGATTGGCTCATTCTAGCTCAAAACGGTTTCTTTAGAAGTGCCATTTGGCAAGGAATAATTTGGCCATTTTTCCTATTGAACTCAAGTTTCCAGAAATAAAAGTGATAGCCTCCACAACTTTCTCTTAGTGTAAGAGTTAAAAAGTAGCTTCCAAAAACTTTGATTCCAAAAAAGACTTCAAAAGTGGATTCCAAAAAATTTCAAATGGTATCAGAGGGAAAAGACATTATTCAGTTCACCTCTGTCAGTCAGTCTTGGACTAGGAGGGATCATACCGCAATGCAGTGCACCACAGCAGAGCGGTGGGGTGAGCGTGTAGCCTACTGTGTGCAGGGAGGTTCAAGTGTGGCAAAGTGTATCGATGCCCCCCCACCCCCGCCCTCAGGGCAGCCAAACATCTGTCTGTCCGGTTTGCCACCCAAATACTATTCTCTGTATGCCTTGACATACAAAAGGTTGAGAAACACTGCCTTACTTATTGAAAAGCATTTTTAGAAAACATGCACAGTTTTTCTACTGTTCAAAAGTGCCTGTGTTTTGAACAGCTGTCTTCCATAAAATAAAGAAAAATAAACATTTCTTCCCGTTACAGGGCTTATGGGTGATATTTCTGCTGCATGTTACAATACAAAATACATACCCTGCCACTAACATTAGAGTTGTAATTCCATACCAAAAGAGTAATTTATTACAGAAGCAAGCGTTATGATTAAATACTGCTGGTTTTGAATTCGGAATGTCCAAAAGAACATACGACAATGCACCATGTTTGCATGCTTTAATAAATACACAGAACATGATAGTACCTCTAGAATGGTGTTATATCTGACCCTTTATGTTCAAAGTATTTTTATAAATAAAGTAACTGGCTCAGAAAAGTTAAGTAACTTGTCTCTCAGTTAGCAAAGCTGGTAAACAGGGAAATCAAGGAATTGAAAACAAGTCGGTTTGATTCCACAGCCTGTGACTTAAACCAGTGCAAGCTGGAATGACTCAAATTTGGCCAAACGACCACAATCAAAGAAAAAAGGGGAAAGTGAATAACTAAAGAAAATAACTAAATTTTTATGAAGTAATGCTTTCTCTGGGTAATAGTAGGATCAAAATGAAAATGATGTAGAAAAAAACACAGAGGAAAAGCTTGGTCTATAGATACGCAGAGAGTATTTTTAAACGCTTTGAAAATATTAACTTAGGCTTACTCTTGGAGTGGACGACAAGCTCTGAACAACGAACACCACAGGATTTCCTGCATTCTTAATGGCCTCGACTGCTTCTCTGTGTGAGGCATTCTGCAAATCTACTCCAGACACCTGAAACACAGAAGTCACTTCAATTAGAAAGGCTGTCGAGTTCACATATATTAACCAGCTATGAGAACAGCCAGAGTCTAATGAATTAGACCAAAGCCAAAAAACTAAGATTGGCCCATAAAAAGCTTTGTTGCTTTAGGAGAACATATTTAAGGAAAATAACATTCCGCCTTCAAGACAAGCGAATGAGACAAACATCTTAGTAACAATAGCCCTGGTTAAATACAATTATCCAAAATAGGTAGCTCAGTTCGTGACAGAATCCTAAGAAGCTTCTGTGCTGTGGTGTCACCTCTGCCACCAACACAGCACATAATTCTGAGTGGGGACAGGGAAGGGCGGTCTGGACTCTTCTCTTGAATTGAGAAGTATGATATTTTAAGCACACTGTCCATTATCACAATTGAGTAGCGGAACATCTCTCAAATGATGTTCAAAAAAGAACTATGAAAATATCCATGGGTTCTTTTACTAAAAGTGTTCTCTGTTCAGTAAATTGGGGTAAGTGTAAATAGCTCCTCAACATACAGATTTCAGAAAACCTAACATGCAAATGTCCATAATCTCCAAGAGCATTCTGTATTTACCATATTTAACAGAACCAGTTTTTCAAAACGATAATGTAACAAGGCCTTGGTAAATGCAGGGGTGCCTATGGTCAGCAGACAATGACAGTTTGTGAATACTTTTTCATGTTAAGGAGACCAAAGAAATCGGAATGTAGGTGGATAGGGATGTGGGATCAAGGTTGGCTTTCGTGTTTGAGATGGGAGGTATTACAGTAATCGTGGTGCAGTGGAGAGGAAATGGATATGAAAGAGAGAAGTGACACCTGTAGAAGTAAATCCTTGGACACTGAGGAGGGAATGACTTCTGTGCTACAAGTCAGGCAGGTTGGCTTTAGACAGAAGCACAAACAATTCATTTGTTGTTACAGATACAGTTAGGAAAAAAAAGATTTGGCATGCAGTGGCAGCAAGGGGAAGTTCCTTTTTGACTGCTTTCATTTTCTCCATGAAATAAAAAACAAGGACCATAAACTGAGCAGTTTAGGAGGTATGAAGGAGTTACCTCGGGAAGCAGGAAAATGAAATAACTAGGGACATATTACAGGATTGCAGGGCAGAACTAAAGACTCACTTGAGAAGGAGCTCATGAATTTTAAAATGAGACCAGACAGCACTGTTATTTTCTCCAGCCATGCCAGAGTCCTGAAATAAGCAAAGAGTTGCATTTAACTAGGATGTGGTTCCCCCAGACAAGTTCAGTAAAAGCAAAGGGGATCCAAGGAGCTGGAAACGACAAGGATGATCAATCACAGAACCAGAGCAGAATGAAGAGAAAACTGAGCACCTCTGAAGCTGAGGGACACACAGGTAAGGGCCTGAAGGTATGAGACAGGAGCGTCGTATGTGAGAGGTCTGAAGGCAGGTGGGTCCAGGGGTGCCTGGGTGCTTCAGACACTTAAGTGTCTGACTCTTGATTTTGGCTCAGGTCATGATCCCAGGGTCATGGGATTGAGCCCTGTGTCAGCTCTGCACTCAGCATGGAGCCTGCTTAAGATTCTCTCTCCCTCTGTCCCTTCCCCTGCTTGCTCTCTCTCTAAAAAGAAATAAATGATTGGCAAAAAAATTTTTTAAATAAAAAAATAAAAAAGGCAGGCGAGTCTAAAGCACAGTGCAAAGTGGAGAGGAGAGAGAGGTGAGGTCAGGAAGGCAGCTGAAGCCACACCACACAAAAGCCACGGCAGGAACTTTGGCCTTTTATTCTAACAGACATCCGGTGGGAGGTTTCAATGCTCTGTAAAGCCTTTTCCCAGCTGAACTCAGGAAGGATGAGGATAATAGTAAATGCATATAGAAAAAAATTTAACTGAAGCTTAAAAGCAATCACAATGGTTTGATGAAGTTCTTACGAATAACCTGATCCCCATGACATTCTACAATAAATGAGGTAGAAGCTATAAAAGAACCACTTCATCTTCCAGTAATAACCAGCTTCAGTTTCCCCAACACAGATTTCCACAGGGTTAAATGTGAATCCCTAAAGTTGGGAAGTTAGGGGGGGAAAATGGAATTCTGTTACAACAAAAAAATAACCTGAGTGTTTCTAAGCTATAAATTTATAACCCAAAGTGTGTCCCATTCACACAAGACAGACCCATTTCTAAAAATTAAATTAAATTCCAATTTCCCACTTAAACAAATTCTTCTCTACATGGGCCTAAATCCTTTATGCAATTGTGCAATTGTTTCAAGGCAGAAAGAAATATTAAGCTTTACTTAAAAACAAATGAGTAATTCTCTTCATGGGAAAAAAGTAAACAAATGACTCAGTATGTTTGACAAAATAAAGATTCAAGTATTAACATTTCACATCTGGTGTGAGTTTAAAGAAATTTACTAAATCTGAGACACAACAGTGATATAAAAGTGTTGATGGATAAGTGAGAGAATACATTCATCTTACAGCAGAGAAAGATGAGGGGAAAACCCACAAAATTTAAGAAGATAAACAATGAACAATCCAATTAGGAAACAGGCAAAAGACCTGCACAAACATTTCCCTGAAAAGGACATATACATAAGGTTTGAAAAGTTCTTTATCATTTTCCACTGGGGAAACTCAAAACAACAATGAGGTATCACTATCTGCCCATCAGAATGTGCAGAATGAAAAACAGTGACAACACCAAATGTTGGTGAGGATGTGGGGAAACTGGGCCACTCATACATTGCTGGTGGGAATGTAAAATAGTACAGCCACTGTGGAAAATAGTTTTGACAGCTCCTTTCAAAACTAAAAATGGACTTACCATACAACCCAGCAATTGCATTCTTGGGCATTTATCTCAGACAAATGAAGACTTATTTTCACTCAGGAACTTGTATACGAATATTTAGAGAAGCTTTATTCATAACAATAAGCCAAGAACTGGAAACTACCCAAGTGGCTTTCAGTGGATGAATGGTTAAACTGTGGTACCTCCACACCATGAAATACTATTCAGACGTAATAAAAGGGTATCAACTATTAATGGACACAACAGATTAAATGAACTTCAGTGAAATTATACAGAATGAAAAAAGCCAATCTCAAAAAGATACAGAATGCATAATTCCATTTCTGTGGTAATTGTGAAATGAGATAATTAAAGACATGGAGAAACACATCAGTGATTCCCAGAGGTTGGGGATGGGGGGATATGAAGAGGGGAAGAGGAATGGCTGCAGAGGGTAGCACAGGGGAGTCTTGTGGTAAATACGGTTGAGTTTCTTGATTGTGGTGGTGGTTATGCAAGGCTACACATGTGATCAAACTGGAGAGCTATAAAAACACATACAGTTATACATCGGTGTGTGCCTAATTGGTAAGATGGAAATAAGGTCTGTGAATTATGCCAATATCAGTATTTTGGTTTTGCTATCGTACTATGGCTATAGTTACTGTTAAGGTAACATTAACATTGAGGGAGGCTGAGGGAAGAGTATATGGGACCTCCTTGTATATTTCTTTACAATTTCTTTCCCATGACTCTGTATTTCAAAATAGAAAGTTAAGGTGGGGGAGAGACCAAACAAAATACAAAACATATATTTAAAAATTAAGTTCAAATATATCAGTAATCAAAATAAAAAATTAATCCGTGCCACTTATTTACTAGAAGATTATCAATATAGATTTAATAAGACAAAATCCCTTATGTATTGCTTACAAAACATACAACTAAAACAAAATCACAAATAAGGGTGAAAATGAAGGAATGAAAAAAAACAAAAAAACAAAAACCAAACCAATGTACCATGCAAATACTTAATAAAGGAAACCACACCTGCCCCAGAAGGAGTAATCCTTTTAAAATATGTATGCATTCATAATCTTCTAATGGATTCTCACTGCGTTCAAAGACAACCTTCCAAGCTCTCTGTGATATGGCTTCACTTTACCTCTCAGACCTTTTCTCTTCGCGCTCTCTTGCTCCCTTTAGCTACATTATCAGTGCCAGTCTGCTTTCTGCTCCTTCAACACAGCCAGACAAACTCCTACCTCAGAGCTTTCGCCTTTTAGTTCTCTCTGCCTGGATCCTTCTTCCCCTATACATCCACACGGCTCATTCTCACGCTTCCTGTATTTGTCTCAGTATCATCTTCCATAACCAACCTATCAGTTGCAATTACCACTTCCATTCCTTATCTTTCTATTCTATTTCTCCATAGAATCTACAATCTAACACTCTACACATCACTTATGTAATATCTTCCCTACTACCATGTAAATGCCGTAGGAGTAGGAATTTTGCTCATTTTCTTCACTGCCATGTCCCCCGTGTGTTTGAAATTTTCTTTTCAGTTTCAAAAGCACAAATGTAACCTAATATTTGTATATACAGAAAGGTTTTACACAGTTCTTTGCTTTAATACTCACAATAATGCTATGGGTCTTGAATTCTCATTTCCATGAGAATAAGGTGCATTTAATAATTTGTCCAAGAACAAATGCAAAGTAAACAGGGCAATCAAGACTTCACCCCATGACCTCCAGTGCTCTTTTCACTTTATCAGAGCTGAAGCACCAGGGCTGAAGTTTATCATCATAAAGCAGGTGTCACGAAGAAGCAGATGCTGGGACTGAAGATATGGAATATGAGGTCATCCAATAAATGCAATGCAAAGAAATGTGTGAGGTTCAGACCTCAGGACATTCTCAGTGCCTTGATGGACCTTTTAAACTCTGCTCTGCAGACCTGCCACATGTGAACAATGGATCCGCCCCTCCTTCCAATGGAATCTGGGAGGATGTGCGTGGCTATTCCACTGACACATATTTATAAAAGGTAGAGCTTGTTCTAGGGAATCTAGTCAATAATATGGTAACAATGTTGTATGGGGACAGATGCTAACTACACTTGGGGCAAGCACTGCGGAATGTACAGAATTGTCGAATCACTATGTTGTATACCTCCTACACCTACAAAACTTAACGTAACATTCATTCTAGATCAACTACACCTACAAAAAAGAGAATATTAGAAATTTTTTAAATGATGAAAAAAATTACAACTTGTCAGACTGTGGGAGAAGCACAATGCTCATCACCTGCCTCATTCTGTAAAATGGTAGAATTGTTTTTTCAGTCAGCTGCGCCTTTGTGCAGCATTCTGTATGCTACCACCCTGATGTTATAATTATATACATACAATTATGCAAACAACATACAAACTAAGGCATGGGAAGAAAATACACCAATTGTACATACATATACCCCAACAATGAAGGGAGGACTTCTGGTTAAATATTACTGTCTTAAAGCAGGTTTCAAACGAAAACAGAATTTTAACATCATTTACCTCCAGTATTTTATCTCCTGTTTTAAGAGCATTTGTTTTTCCTGCTGGACTGTCTTCTAAAACTTGTTTGATAAATATACCTTTAAGTTCCTCTCCATTCTTCAGGCGTTTTATAACAGTTTGTCCACCAACAATACTAATACCAAGGGACACATTGGGTTCTCTGAAAATCTCAACACTGTAAAAAGAAAATAAATTCACTCATGAATAAGTTAGTATAACTTGTTGGAATGTCACTAGAAGTGTTCACTTTGTACCATATCCTTGTGACTCATATCTTATATGAATATATTTTTACAAATGTTATCAAAATTGTACCTCGTTCAAAAATTCTAAGATATTTTCAGTGATTTGTGGCACATGTGAAAGCCTGAATTTGGAAAAAGATTTCTAAAACAATAATTACACCTCTTAATATTCTTAATGTTCACAGCTCCTACCACAATATATTTTCTGTAATTAGTTCTTTTAATCTATATCAGTAACATTAGCAAAGAATGAAGAAAGTAATAAATGGGTGAAAAAAAAATCAAGAAAGTCACATATATCATTTTGACAAAAACCACAAACTTTCATAATAAAATAAATTTCTGACCAAAAATCTTGTTACCCAAACTGTTTTTTCCAGTCAGCAGGTTTAACCTGTGGTTCTTTAAGTGGAGGACAGATTTTGCTCTTAAGGCTGGAAGTTGTTCTCTTTTCTTCCTACCTCCACATCACTTTATTTTATTTATTTATTTATTTATTTATTTATTTATTTATTTATTTATTTATTTACTTACTTACTTATTTACTTATTTACTTATTTACTTATTTACTTACTTACTTATTTATTTATTTATTTATTTATTTATTTATTTATTTATTTATTTATTTATTTATTTATTGAGACAGAGAGAGAGCAAGTTGGGGAGGGAGAGAGAGAAAGGGAGAGAGAAATCCCAAGCAGGCTCCTCACTGTCAGCGCAGAGCCTGATGCAGGGCTCGTAACTCACGATGAAATCATGACCTGAGCTGAAATCGTATGTTCAACCACTTGAGCCTCCCAGGCAACCTGAATGAGCCACCCAGGCACCCCACATAACTTTAAAAAATAAAGAATGGAATAAAACTTGCTCTTCCCTGGTTATGAATTTTGCTCAAACTGCACAGATGTGACCAATGATTAACTGAAATTTTTAAAAAGTAGTTCAGAAAACAGCTCCCAAGAGGGGCACCTGGGTGGCTCCGTGGGTTAAGCATCTGACTCTCGGATTTTGGTTCAGGTCATGAACCAGGTTAGTGGGATGGAGCCCGGGTCTATGAACTGAAAGTGTGGAGCCTGGTTCAGATTCTCTCTGCCCCTCCCCTGCTTGTGGGCAGCTCTCTCAAACTAATATAAACAAACATTGAAAAAAGAAAAGAAAACGGCTCCCAAAGACAAAATTCAGAAGTGCAAGAAGAAAACAGACAACGTTGGTAGGTATTGTGGCATTAATAACGCATGCAGAATAGAGCAGGTAATGGAAGACTTTTATATACTGTTAGCTCAAACTAGGCACAAACTTGGAACTAACACAAGGGAAGGAAGGAGGATAGAGATAAATTGACACATGATAGAAACCTCAACTGATGTTGTTGTTCACTTAAAAAAAAAAATAAGGGAAGGAATTTTAGTCCTTTCAGGGCAGTCCTACCTGCCTTCCTCAAGGATGCAGTAATAAAATATGCTTGGTCCACTGGTTACTACCATACATGGACAATTGTAAATTGCTTTCTCTGCAAAGGTATGATAAAGACTTTCCTAATATTGATTACAGTTATTTTGCCCAGGTAAAAATCTCTAGAGAAGACAAACTGAAACTAAAATTTAGGTCATTTTGTAGCAATGTGGATGGAACTGGACAGTGTTATGCTAAGTGAAATAAGTCACACAGAGAAAGACAGATACCATATGCTTTCACTCTTATGTGGACCCTGAGAAACTTAACCGAAGACCATGGGGGAGGGGAAGGGAAATACAAAGTTAGAGAGGGAGAGAGCCAAACCATAAGAGACTCTTAAAAACTGAGAATAAACTGAGCGTTGATGGGGGGTGGGGGACAGGGGAAAGTGGGTGATGGGCATTGAGGGGGCACCTGTTGGGATGAGCACTGGGTGTTGTATGCAAACCAATTTGACAACAAATTTCATATTAAAATAATTAAAAAAAAAAAAAAACAAAAAACCTTAGAGATGTACATTATGGCAATACTTAATCAGTAGAGAACGTCTCTAAATGACACTCTGAAAGGAAAGAGCAACCAACTGTGTTCTCCTACTGAGAAAGCCAATGACATCATCAACGTACATTCTTGGTGGACCCCAGTGGCTGAAGTTTGGAGTTTCTTCTCCTTCACCTTCTTCTCTCTCAGGTAACTCACTGAAGAGAGACAAAGGAAAAACACACATGCACCTTGTAAAACAGTGCTGTTAAAGGTTCTTGCAAAGTTTTGAAGTTGAACAATCTATTTGTAGGTAAATAGTTCTTAATTTTTAAGGTTTAAAATACTTACATCTACAGTTAACTATCTGTACAAAACAAAAATACATTACTTTTAATGTTCAACAAACAATCCAGAAACACACATCACAGATTATAAACACTTTTATTGGTGACAGTCTAGACGCTATTTCCTAAAAATCTATGTGTGATTTGTACAACTTCACATTTGTTTCATGATCAAGGTACAAAATATCATAACATATATTCCTTTAAACTTGGTCCTGATCGACAAGCAAAGAAAACACTCCAGCATAAACCAACATATGTAGCTGAAATGGCTAAACAGGAAACACAATCCCTCTTTGTAGATCTGTCATCCTGGCACTAAGTAACTCCCCGGTGATGTGTATCCCATGAACGTTTTGTGTCATTATCCATCACTTTGCAGTTTGCAGAGAGATTTCCTTCTGGTAGATCTAATTTGATCCTCCCACCTACCACTGCCATACTTTCACCCATCAAGTCATGCTGGTATGGAAGTGATAACATAAAATGCTGAATTACAGGGGTGCCTGCAAGGCTCAGTCAGTTAAGCATCTCTTTTTTAATGTTTATTTATTTTTGAGGGGGAGGTTAGAGGGGCAGAGAGAGAGGAGGAGAATCTGAAGCAGGCTCTAGGCTCCAAGCTGTCAGCGTAGAGCCCAACATGGGCTTGAATGTGCAAACCGCAACCTGAGCTGAAGTAAGACCAAGCTACCCAGGTGCTACAAGCATCCAACTCTTGATTTTGGCTCAACTCATGACCCCAGGGTCATGGGATCGAGCCCCATGTCAGGGCTTGGGATTCTCCCTCTCTGCCCCTTTCCCTCCTCAAAATAAATAAACTTAAAAAAAAAAGATCCTTTTAAAAATGCTGAATTACAAAGTACTTATAAAGGTAATGCTATCTAATAGGGTAGAGACATTACCATATATTATCTGGAAGAGTACTCCTAAGAGAACTCCTAAGCTCCAGTCTAACCCGCACCATGAAATGCGTGTGTGACTCTGGACCACCACCTGAGATAATAGGTCTGAAGGGTACATTTTATTACTCTATACAAAAATGTAGGTACTACCTCTTCCATTTTACATTCACAAAAACCCTGTGAAGCAGGCACTGCAGGTCATATTATTATTTTATTCTTCCACTTGAGGAACTGAAGCTCAGGGAAGGCTGCAAATACACAACCTCCTCACAGTATCCAAATCTGTTTTGCAGCCTAAACGTTTCAATGCTCCATTTTTCTCTGAAGTCTCAAATGAGTCCTATAAATAGCAGCAAAACTCCAAACCCACCTGCATGTCTACAGACAGACTTTCTAGTGTAGAATGGTTTCAGGCTGAATGAAAAAGAGAATACCAAAAGAATCCAAGTATTAGTTAAGAAATTGGAATCATCAGGGGTCGTTAACATCTCACCTATTCCCAGATGGTTTTGTTGCCTCAGACAGTCAATGATTTCATGATTAAGAGCATCACAGTATTCAAGGCAAAAGAGTTTGGCAGATACTTGCCAATTACTTATCTAATGTCCTCTTCCTCCTTCCTTACCAACATAACTTCTCCTTTATTCCAGGTGGCACTATGCCCAGATTTAAAGAAATACATTTTCTGGACTTCCTTTCAGCTAATGTTAACTGGGAGCTACAGTTCTGAAATGGAAGTACAAGTCCTCAGAGATTTCCAGAAAAACTCATTACATGGACAGAGAATCATCTGGCAGGAGCCTTTCATGCTATGACCTTCCCTTTCTTCTTGCCTAGAAGGCAGAGATGATATTGGCAGTGAAGTATTTATTTTAAAATCATGAAGAAACAGTGACTAAAGCAATGCATTAAAGACAGCAGAGCAGAAAGGAAGGTGTTTAAGACCCCGGCAGATCACCTTCTTCAGGGGTTTTTACATGAAAAAAATTACAGCCCCACTTGGTTAAGCCACCCCAAGTGGAGAGTTTTATAAGCAGCTGAATGCAATCCCTACAGGATACCCAGGATTCTACCAATTTAAGCAAAGTCTTCATATTATCACATTATATTATTCTTTGCACATGTGCATAGATGTTCATTGAATAGCTGTAATAGCAGAAGCTTTCATATTTTGATTACCCTATGTAACAGTAACAAGGATTAAATGACGTGACTGTCATTTAGTGGAAGCTTAATATTCATTTCCTTTACAATTTTTTTCATTTGAATTTCTATAAAAAATTTCCCCATGTATCGTAATCTTTCTTTTTTTATTTAACAGCATCTTAATAGCCCATACTATTGATGTAATTTATCTGCCATCCAAAATATGATACTTTACATTATATCCTGGTTTTCAGAATATGGACATTACTGCAAGGAATATTGTCATGCTCTATTTTAGAATTCCCCTGTAAATATTAACTGAGGATTAAAAATTAAAAATCCCCAAACAAACCAACATTGAAACTTTCCTTCTATTTTCTACTTTCCTGTATCCCAAATCATGACAGGTGTGATAAGACATAAATATTTGGTCTAATTAAGGACACACCTCGGGCTGACTAAGCCTTTCCAGAGAGGCAAGTGCTCGCATCATGTTCACCATCAGCCATGCTCCAGAGCGCCACTGACTCTTGGGAGGAGAGTTCTCCATGAGTCTGATGCCTGGTGTTCGCAGCGGATGTCCAGGGACACCCTTTGATTGCCTGGCTTTGGTGGATGAAGGGTCTTGCATTGTTGGGTTCCACAGGACTATGGCAATCAGAGGACCATTCTTGGTAGGCTACCATCACCAGGGCACTTCAAAGATGGCAGACTGAGGCATATGCCCCAGGCTTTCTGTGAAAAAGGTCACTTTGCTCATCCTGGGGCTTTGGACTAAGGGGCAGGATTCAGGTTTGGCACACATCCAGTGCCCTACAGTGTGGCTCTAAAGGAACATAGGCTGTGAACACCACCTTGGCACTTTCCCTCTGCTTTGCTCCAGCTTGCTGGTATCTCCCCAAAAGGAGCTTATAAACACTCTTCTGGAGCCCAAATTTTTGTGACTGCCACCCAAGGCACACCTCAGATTGCCTGTCTTTGGTGGACAGTGAGGCTTACACATGTGGTCCCTCAGGACCATATACATTTGCATACTTTTAAAGCTGCTGCCTAAGGGTTTGGCTTCTAGTCAAAGCCTGATTCTCCCCTTTTGGACACTGACAACCTCAGTTGAGGCACATCCTCAACTACCAGGAGCTATTAAAAATACAACAGCCTGCTTGAACAAGCACAGAAATTTGGGAAACAACCAAGAGCTGTGGTAGGGCTGAATGAAAAGTTTCACCTCCTACACAAGGCCACTCTTTCTAGACTGGGAGAGGTGGCAGTTTCATCTACTGTATAGAAACCAACACGGAAAGTCAAGCAACATGAAGAAACAGAGGAATGTTCCAAATGAAATTTAACAAAACCTCAGAATGCCTAAGTCAAAAGGAGATAAGCAATATACCTGTTAGAGTCCAAAGTCATGGTCATAAAGATGATCACTGAAGTTGAAAGAATGGATGAACACAATTAAAACTTCAACAAACACATAGAAAACATAAGAAAGTACCAAACCAGTCACAGAGCTGAAGAATGCAATATGTGAACTGAAAAATACACTACAGGTATTTAATAGCTGACTAGACAAAACAGAAGGATCAATCACCTCAAAGACAAGACCAATCAAAGAAGCAAAAGGAAGAAAGGATAAGAAAAAATGAAAATAGCTTAAGGGACTTATAGGACAACTTCAAATAAACTAATATTCACTTTCTATAGGGCTCCCAGAAAGAGAAAAGAAAGAGAAAGAGGTAGAAATTTCATTTGAGGAAATAATGGCTAAAACTTCCTTACAATGGGAAATGAAATAGCCATCCAGATCCAGGAAGCCCAGAGAGTTCCAAACAAGTTGAAACCAGAGAGACCCACAACAAGACATGTTATAATTAAAATGTCAAAAGTTAAAGACAAGGGAAGAATATTAAATGTAGCAAAAGAAAAAAAACCTTGTTAATATTAAAAAAAAAAAAAAACCCACTCCCCATGATAAGATTGCCAGCAAATTTTTGAGCACATGCTTTATAGGTCACAAGGGAATGGCATGATATATTCAAAGTGTTGAAAGAAAACACTTGAAACCAAAAATACTCTATCTGGCAAAATGATCATTCAGAATTGAAGAAGAGATAAAGAGTTTTCCAGACAAGTAAAAACTAAAGGAGTTCATCACCACTAAACTGGCCTTACAAGAAATCTTAGAGGGGCTTCTTTAAGCTGAAAAGAAAGAGTGTTAATTAGTAATAAGAACCCATGTGAAAGAACAAATCTCACTGGAAAAGTAAATATATAATAAAGGTCGTGGATTATTTATAAAGCTAGTATGAGGGTTAAAGGAAAAAATAGTAAAATAACTATGATTATAATAATTAGTTAAGGGACACACAAGATAAAAATATGTAAACTATGATATCAAAAACATAAAACATGGTGGGGAGTAGTAAAAAGATTGAGCTTTAGAATGGGATCAAATGTAAGTTATTATCAACTTAACATAGACTATTATAGATGTAAATTGTTATATGTAAGTCTCATGGTAACTACAGGCCAAAAACCTATAGTAAATACACAAAAGATTTAAAAATATAAGCATACCACTGAAGAAAGTTACCAAACCACAAAGAAAATAAGAGAAGAAAGGAACAGAGAAAAACTACAAAAACAGATAGAAAACAATTAACAAAATGCAATAAACACATACCTCTCGGTTACTACTTTAAATGTAAATGCACTAAAATCTCCAAAGACACAGAGTAGCTGAATGAAAAAACAAGACCCATCTACATGCTACCTACAAGACTCCTTTCAGATGTAAAGACACACAGAATGAAAGTGAAGAAA